AAGAGAGTTAATATCAATATCCATGCTATATAGTACACACATAAATACCAACTAAAGGAGCAAAATATATTTCCGTATACTCCCTAGTGCTAAGTACTACCTCATAAATGAAAGCACTATATGGGTTTAAAATAACTTTAAAGAATCCCTTAAATTTGGGTAGGGTATAGATTTATGGATATATTGATATTTATAGATATATTGATACTTAGGTCTGGATTGGGTATAGATTTATGGATATATTGATATATTGATAAAAATTGTTTTGAAGGATATGAGTATGATGGAAAGGGTTAAAATAAAAAATGAAGTTGATTATAAAAGATAAGAGATAACAAGACTTGAAAGACGAGGCAGGTTTGTCTTGTTATTTTGTTTTTTGTTTCTTTTTTGTTTTGTTTTATCTGTTTTATATATGTATTATATATATATGTTTCTTTTTAATAATATTTTTTTAAAAAAATGAAAGCACTATATTCTGCTGCTAGAGCAAAATGGCAGTCTGCCCTTATGTGACTTTTAAGGTTTTGAATGAGACTACTTAGAGATTACTATAATTGACTATGATTATCATTTGCTTAGATCAGGGGTAGGCAACCTTTTTGAGCCTGGGGCCAGGTTGCTGTCCCTCAGACAATTGGGAGGCCGAAGCATCAAAAATAATATGCATGCACACTCTCTCAGCCCCAGAAAAGCCATGGCAAAACCCCTGTGGAGATTTTGCCAAGAAAACCCTAAGAACAAGTAATAACAAGAATAATCAATATCATCATGGCGGGTGGTGGCGGCAGGACTGGCCTGGGGCCGGTCCAAAGGCCTCAGGGGGCCGCATCCGGCCCCCTGAGGCCTTAGGTTACCTACCCCTGGCTTAGATGGCTATAATTTTTGTTGCTGTGAGCATTATACTAAATATGTATTAGTAATTTAAATCTTCCTTTATTTCAGTCTCACGTGAGAGACTAAAGGTTTTCTCACTAAGTGAGATGATGAGGATTTTGTAGATTTTTTTCAAGAGTTTTTGTATTCATGAGACTTTTTTGCAGAGTAATTTTGGCTGAAATTATAGTGTACTTTACACAAACTACCGTTGTTGCATGGACTTTTATAAAGAAGCACTGAATCTTTGTTGGAGAAAACAGGTGTGTACATGCCTAACTGCAAGATGGAGTTCTACAAAATTCTGACAAATGTAAAAACTGGTGTATAAAATAGCATAGGTAATTTTTTAAAAAACTTTAAATCAAGGGTAGAAAATTTAACACTTCAGAGGAGTTGCCATTTTTTATTAAATATTAATTCACTTAGCCCATGTTGCATGTACTGTAGAGAGAATTTTGCCCATTTCAATTTTACATACTAAGATAAGATGGTCCTTTCACTAGTGTGCAGGTTCTTGAATTAAATATGATCACAGAAAATACATTGAGAGGGCAGATATATACTTTGTGTATCTGTTAAACATGCACAAAGCTGTTATGAATGTGAAGGTGGTGTTTATTATTAAATTATATATAAATGTTGTTCTTGTTATTACAGCATTATTATAATTATTGTATCATGTCACAGGCCAAGTGTGTTGCATTAGCTTTACCCAGTGAATTAAGCTGCTATGCAAATGGACTTTAGCATTTCTGTCATCAGTTGGCCTGTGTCCCTTTGCGTTGTAATCTAGCATGTCACCTTCAGCAATAAAACTTTATCCTTAAAAACTGTCTCTTGAACTTCATAAACATATAAAACATGCATCTGATGAAGTAGGCTCAAATCTACAAAACCCATGCTACTAACCTTTATTTCAGTTAGTCTCAAAGGTGCTATAAGATCTCTTTGCATACTGATTTTCCAGACTAACACAGCTATATCTTTGAATTCTGCATAAACACAGTTTCTGATCAGTGCTTGCTAATAAATCTCAGTATAAATTAAATCCAGTTCATGCCAGATCTAATCCTTAATGTGTGTTTGTTTCTGCCTTCATGTCACCTGTTGACCTATGGCAACCCCATGAATTTCATGGGTTTTCTCAGGCAAGGAATCCTCAGAGGTGGTTTTGACAGTTCCTTACTCTGAAATAGAGCCTACAACACCTGGTATTCGTTGGCAGTCTCCCATTTAAGTACTAACCAGGCTTGACCCTGTTTAGCTTCCAAATTAAGATAAGATTTGATGCCTTCAGGATGTTAAAGCTATAATCTCAGAAAAAAAATCACTTTGAAGAAGTAGCTGCTGTTGAAATAAGATGCTATCAGACCATTAAGAGAGGCAAGGTAGCATGAAGAATAGTAATACCCACTTCTGATCACCAACATGCTGGGAAGCATCAGTCTTCATTCTCTTCCAGATCTGTCATGTTGGAGAGCAGCTGCCTAAAATGTTTGAAGAAGTGGCCTCCCCAAACAGACTAAAAAAGTCTAAAAATTCCAGATAATAAATTTTACTGGGTCTTGGCAGGTTTTCAAAGAGTATGTTCTAAAGTTACTGGAATTTTTTCAGTGAATAAAAACATCAAGTATAAATAGTGAATACGGATTGAGTTAGAAGTTTAGACCTAAAAGATGGAGGAATGAAGATAGAAGGAAGGAACATCAACAATCTAATATGTGCAGATGACACCATACTACCAGCTGAAAACATCCTAGACGTGGAACAATTACTAAGGAAGGTCAAGGAAGAAAATCCAAAGGCAGGCTTGTGGCTGAACATAAAGAAAACAAAAATAATGTCCACGAAGGATCTAAATAAAAGCAATAGCAGCTTCATTTATACACTGCTTCATACCGTGCTATGCAGTCTAAGTGGTTTACAATTGTAAGCTAAATAAATTCGACCTAGATGAGGAAACTGAAATAAAGATTCCTCATACCTTGGATCAAAGAGTGATCAGAATGGAGACAGCAGTCAAAAAATAAGAAGACTAAAAATGGGAAGGGCAGCCATGAAAGAACAAGACGTTATAGTGTAAACTGAGCACTAAAGTTAGAATCATCCAAGCCATTATATTCCCTGTCACCATGTACAGATGTGAGAGCTGGACAGGAAAGAAAGCTGACAGAAAGAAAATCAACTCATTTGAGATGTTCTGGGGAAGAGTGCTGAGGGTCCCATGCACAGTCAAAAAGACAAACAGATGGGCCCTTGAATAGATCAACCTGTCGGAGGTGCTTTGATTGTCAGTTCCTGCATGGCAGGGGGGTTGGACTGGATGGACCTTGTGGTCTCTTCCAGCTCTACAATTCTATTATTCTAAGCCTGAACTCTCGCTGGAAACCAAGATGATCAAACTGAGGCTGTCATACTTTGGCCACATCATGAGAAGGCAGGACTCATTAGAAGAGATGACAATGCTAAGAAAGGTAGAAGGCAGCAGAAAGAGGCCACACACCAGATGAATAGACTCAATCATGGAGGTCATGGCCATGAAACTACAGGACCTAAACAGCGCAGTGGAGAATAGGGGACCCTGGAAGGGTCCACAGGGCGATCCATAGGATTACCATGAATTGGTGTCAACAATAACAACATTGATGTTTCCTCAGAATTAAATCTGGCAGGAATGTTTTTGTTAAGAGGCTCACAATCCAAGAACCATAGAGTTGGAAGGGAGCCCAAGGGCCATCCAGTCCAACCCCATTCTGCCATGCAGGAACTCAAAATCAAAGCGTCCCCAACAGATGGCCATCCAGCCTCTGTTTAAAGACCTCCAAAGGAGGAGACTTCTTTGGATCAGGAGTTCCAAAGAAAGTCCAAAGAACCTCTGATCAGGAGTTGTGGAGGTCTAGAGACATCTGAGACTGTGGGCTGTTTCCCCCAGCTGCCTATTTGAGTTGTTTTGTTTTGTTTTCCTCCCACTGTTGGGTTCTTGCACTGTTTACCTTGTTCTCTGTATAACAGTCAGGTATTATAACAGTCATGTATTCCTGCATGGCAGGGGGTTGGACTTGATGGCCCTTGATGCCTCTTCCAACTATGGTTCTGTGTTGAAATCCCCCAGTAGACTCAAACACTGCCACTGAGACCAACTCAACCAGCTCAGGAAAGGAGACTCTTGAGCAGTGAGGTGGGCAGTACACCAAAAGAATCCCGTTCTTTTCCAGCCACCCATCTTCAAAAACACATTCTTGAACCCAGCAGACAGTGGGACAGGGCGCCTGGTGAGGAATCATAGAGTTGGAAGAGACCACAAGGGCCATCCAGTCCACCCCCCTGCCATGCAGGAACTCCCAATCAAAGCATCCCCGACAGATGGCCATCCAGCCTCTGCTTAAAGACCTCCAAAGAAGGAGACTCCACTACTCTCCAAGGGACTGTGTTCCACTGTCGAACCGCCCTTACTGTCAGGAAGTTCCCCCTAATGTTGGAGAAGATGGAGTCCTGATAAAATACTGCAACTCCACCTCCCCAGCCCCAGGTCTCGCCTTCTACTGTACAGAGAATCCAGGTGGACAAAGCTGGGAGAGGTTAATTTTTCCTCCCTCCCAGTTTCTCCTAGCACCATCGTGTCAATTCACCCATCCAGGAAGAAGCATAAACCACCCAAGAAGGAGTGACTTGAAAATATACCTTGGTCAATGGTACAGTAAGCTACCAACAGGGATACATTGCTGTGGCCAGTTCCTGGCATAGATTATTCACCAGGGTTAAAGTACCTGTCCAAGGTGACCTGCTGTCTCATAATCAAGCTTGAAGGCAGACTAAAATAGATCATCACTTCCAGAAATCCTGCCTGTGTGATCATCACTTCTCCAACTTGAGTGTCCTCTGATGCTTAAAAGACCCTTGCAGTCTGAAGTGATTCCATGGTTGCTGGTTCTTGTGCATGGAACTGCCTGCCAGAATATCTGTGATGGCACCTCTTGTTGGTGTGTGCCTTCAAGTTGTCTCCAACATTTGGTGACCCTGAGGGGAGCCCTTCACAGGGGTTTCTTGGCAATATTTGTTCAGAGAGGTTTGCCTTTACCTTCCTCTGAGGCTGAGAGAGTATGACTTGCCCAAGGTCTCCATGGCAGAGCATGGGATTGAACCCTGGTCTCCAGAGTTGTAGTCCAATGCTCAAACCACTATTCCACATTGGCTCCTGACACCTCTTTTACCTCCTTCAAATCCATCTACAAAACACACCTTTTCCACAAAGCTTTTGGAACTACCCCATAGTTGCCATATCTTACTAAACCTCTGGATGTGTAACAGCAATACAACGAGAAGAAGCACATCATCATCACCATCATGTATATAGTGCCATCTATGTACATGGCACTTATCAAAGGACAGGCATGATAGCTCTCTTCTCTGAGGGATTTGCAATCTAAAATATACTCTGCTTTTATAAACTCTGTGTGTGTGTGTATGTGTGTGTGCATTCACATGGAGGCAAGCATATATGGGACACGGATATGATTGTTTAAATTACACAAACTCAAACTTATTTATAGTAGAATATAGCTGTCTTCCTCCAACATACCTAGAGGGCACCAGTTCAGGGAAGGTTGAGATTTAGACTAATTGAGGCTGAAGGAAAATTGTGACTGAAAGTGGGTGGGTTGAAGAATAAAAAATTATATTCAGAAATGGAAGACAGGTAAGTGCTATAATACCTGAAATGAATATTTTAGGCACTATGAGATGCTCAATCAAATGTGGGCAAGTAGGCACATATAGCCCAAAGGCCATATGTTGCCCATTTGTCTTATATTCCATAATGTGCTAGCACCCGAGTGCTGTTATATAAATAAATAATAAAGTATATGGATGGTATTAATATCTACGAAACAATTTCTGTCATTTATACTTTGTAAGGGTAGTACAAAGGTAAATATTTTATCTATTTTTTCAGGGGTATCATTTGAAGTCGTGTGTGCCATTTTTAACAGGTGGTTCACCATGGCAAATATATTTTTAACAGAGTAGTAGTGACACTCTACTTCTGGCTCTGTCTTCAAAATAGAACAAACTTCTTGCTAGCAAACACCTCCATCCCAAAAGTAAAGGTCAAGAACAGGAATTATCTGTATATCATTATAGGCTAGTTTGCTGAATACTCTTTTTTATTATCACCGAGATGACCTTTGCACAAATACCTGTCCAACAGTCTTAAGTATGCTTACCACCAGAAGGTGAGTCACAATGAACTCTGGCTAACCAATTTCACTACAAGGTTTCGTGGAATATAGCCCACTTCATCAGATGCATGAGAAATCTGTAGCCCATGGAAGCTTATGGTGAAATAAATTGTTAGTTCTTTTTTTCATATTGAAACATACCAACATGGCTACCTCTTTGAAAACAGGAGTGAGGTGACAGAATTATGGAATCATAGAGTTGGAAGAGACCCCCAAGAACCATCCAGTCCAACCCCCCTGCCATGCAGGAACTCACAATCAAAGCACCCCTTTCAGATGGCCATCCAGACTCTGCTTAAAGACCTCCAAAGAAGGAGACTCTACCACTCTCTGAAGCTCAGGGGGTTCTTCCTAATATGTAGGTGAAATCTCTTTTCCTGTAGTTTGAATCCATTGCTTTCTTCTCCAGACTAAACATATCCAACTCCTTAAACTGCTCTTCATAGGGCATATTAGACTAAACAGAAAAAAAGAAAAAGATAATTGGGTTGGCATAAGATCACTCTCAGGTCTGGCCAGGACTTTGAAGTTTGCAAACAATGAGGTGCCTCCTCGTGAAAAAATTAAATTATCAATCACATTTTTCCCTTTAGGACCAAAAAATGTTTATTGGTCTGATTCGGAATCTCTATCTGTCCCATTACATAGGAATAGATGGAATTTAAAGATAAGTGGAGGTGCTGCATGATGGGGTGAGCTCCCGTCACTAGTCCCAGCATCTGCCAACCTAGCAGTTTGAAAGCATGCAAATGCAATTAGATAGATAGCTGCCACTTTGGTAGGAAGGTAAAAAGCATTCTGTGCAATCATGCTGGCCACATGATCACAGAGTAGTCTCTGACAACGCTGACTCTTTGGCTTAGTAGCAGAAATGAGCATCGCCCCTATGGTCGGACACGACTCAACAACCTTGTCAATGGCGGATACCTTTACCTATTTGGATCTTTGGGGGATAAACCCAATTTCTCAGCTGTTCTGTAATTATTTCAGCCCAATCTGGCATTCATGTCACCAGCTATTAAAATTAGTAGATCAGAGTAAAGTTCAACATATGGAAGACAAGATCTTGAAACAGAGGCTTTTGTACTTTGGCCACATCATGGCAATGCATGCCTTACTAGAAAAGAAGAGAGATGGATAAACTCAGTGGATAGATCGCATGCCACATGGATAGATTCAAACAGGGAGACCTGAATCTACAGAACCTAAGCAGAGCAGTGAATGATAGGGGTCTTGGAGTTGTCTCATCCACAGGGTCACCATGAGTCAAGGATGATTCTAGGCCAGGGGTAGGCAACCTAAGGCCCGGGGGCCGGATGCGGCCCAGCAAGGCCTTTGGACCGGCCCCAAACCGGTCCTGCCGCTGCCGCCCCCCCCACTGCCGCCGCCCCCCCCCATGATGATATTGATTATTGTTGTTATTACTTGTTCTTGGGGTTTTCTTGGCAAAATCTTCACAGGGGTTTTGCCATGGCTTTTCTGGGGCTGAGAGAGTGTGCATGCATTTTTTAAAAAAAATTTAATTCTTTTTTAATTTTAATTTTTATTTATTTATTTATTTATTTATTTATTTTTGGTGCTTCGGCCCGTCAATTGTCTGAGGGACAGCAACCCGGCCCCCGGCTCAAAAAGGTTGCCTACCCCTGTTCTAGGCCATTTATCAACAACAAACAAAAGGTCTAATTTTGGGACTATCACCAGTCCATTTCCTCCAATACTACTTAATGTATATATGGAACCCCTACGTTCCATCTTTTTCCGTTTGAGGGTTCAGTGCCACCAGTATGTAGATAACTCTCAGCTCTATGCCTCCATTCCATCTGAAGCCAGGATAGTTGTTCTGGTTCGAAATTAGTGCCTAGCATATTCTTCAGAAACACTTGATGGAATTTCCTTTCTGTTTGGGGCTTTTCCACACAATCCTTTTGTTTTCTTCAGTAAATGTACAACTCTCTTACATATATAGCCTATTTTCCCAAGTTGGCAAGTCAACTGCAGAGATATGGTACAAGGTTTCACATCACTCATACTTCAATATTATGCTGAGAAAATATGATTCTAGCCCCCCGAATAGCTGAAGCTGATCACTATTTCCCAGTGTCTTATTTGTGCAAAGCATCAGAACTCAAAGCAGTAGGCTTAAGCAGGAACATAACATTTATATGTGCTTGAAGCTAAGCTTAGGAGATCATATCATGGGATTTGGAACCAGTCCCCCTTCAAGATAATTGTGTGTGTGCCAGTCCAACCATGTAACAAAAATATGTGGAAAAGAATAGTGAGGTGGAGTGGGCCTCTGTTATACCTAAGTTGGCAGTTATTGCCATAGTGTGTCTTGCTTGACTGTGCCCTATACATACAGAAAGCAGGACCAGGGTGGACACTTTCATAACAAAAACCATTCCCCAGAATGTGTGGATGTATGGCTTGTGGAGTCTCCTTCCTTGGAGGTCTTTAAGCAGAGGCTGGATGGCCATCTGTTGGGGATGCTTTGATTGGGAGTTCCTGCATGGCAGGGGGTTGGACTGGATGGCCCTTGGGGTCTCTTCCAACTCTATGATTCTATGACTTGGACCTGATTGTGGCATGCCAAACCCCAATTCCTTAATTTGTTTGCTTGCCTGTGCAGGATCTCTTGTATGGCATACTAGACAGTGCCCTCCCTGCACATACAAAAAGCTTTAGGCTGAAGCACAGAAAACATGCTCCTGGATATTTTTATACCTGGTTTTTTGTACACTGTGAGATGCAGAATCCTAGTAGTACATATTTTGTATATTATTGGTATTGTGTCATACTTGACAGTTTCCTGCACAAACAAAAAACTTTTACTGGGCATAGTTCTCCATAATCTCATAAGAATTACTTTCCCAGGTGTGTTGGCATATAATTTAGTGTGGCTAACGGTGATTGTGATATGCACAGCACCTCTCTTTACTCTTTTCTACTTATTTTAGCTGTAGTTTACATGATGTGTCAAGCTTGACAGTGTCCATCATGTAGATAAAGCTTTAAGCTGGATGGAACATAGTACCATCTTTCAGAAGACACTTTGCTGGTTTTGACTGCATGATCTGACATGTTGTTGTGTGCCTTCAAGTCATTTCTGACTTCCGGTGACCTTTTTCTTGGCAGTTTTGCCATTGCCATCCTTTGTGGCTGAGAGATTGTGACTTGCCCAGGATCATCCAGTGAGTTTCTACGGCTGAGCAGATTTGAGATGGTCAAAAGCTTATTGGGGGTGTCAAGTTCCACCTCCTTATCTTTTTGTAACTTTTTATTATTAATGGTGTGATGTACTATGCTTGACTGTGCCCTTTGCATAGAGAAAAGTTTGCATTGGATGGACCTTAGGCCATTGTATAAAGAACACTCTTTTGAAGATGCAGTTGTGTCTCATTTAAGGTGTATTTGGGATTCACAGCTCCATTCCCTTGTAATTGCTGAGCTTGTTGCTGCTGGGTGCCTTTGTTTCCAGCATAGGAAATCACAGTGTTGTTTGGCTATCTGAGTTAATAAAGCATTAGTGTATGTTACACACAACATCCAATGTTTCCCTCCACTAGATGTGTAATATGTATCCAAACCTTAGTTTGGGATACAGGAGTATGTAATCAGTAGGTTCTTCTGTTTAATGACTGCGCTCTTTTTAAATCATTTATTTATTCAATTGGCCCTCCATATCTGCAGATTGTTTTATACAGATTCAAGCATCCTTAGCTTCAAAATTTTTTAAAATGTATAAATTCCAAAAAGCAAAGCTTGATTTTACCATTTTTTCTAATGGGGCTTGAGCATCCACGAATTTTGGTACTCATGTGGAGTGGATGCCAAGGGCCTACTATAGTTTTGTGCAAACAAGGAACTGCAGGATTCATAGTCTGACCCCACAGATTCAAAATACACACTGTAGAAATAATCCAGTTTGAGACTGCTTTAACTGCCCTGGCTCAGTG